TTTTTTACGTTTAGTTTGTCGTTTTGTAAGTGATGAAGAACGAATACGTTTTCTAGTTTTCGGTGGTGTTAAATAATTCTGTACAATTTTTTGATCTTGACTTAAACTTAAATTTAGTTCATCCTTTATACTATGTAAATTATAATTACCGTTACACATTGTAACTGAATTTTTGTTTAAATTATTATCAATACATTCTTTATCTTCAGTTGGTAATAAAAAATTATTGAATGGTGGAGATATATTATTTATATTTGATGAATAATTATTACTATACATTTCATATTCATCAGCTATTTTTAATTCATTATCAGGTAATCCAATAGATTCACTATTTTTCAATATTTGAGATTCAATGTTTGTACATTGATGTGGTTTGGGTAATTTGAGACTGTTATCATTTGGTAAAGTTATGGAAGGTATAAATGTACTGTTAACTTGAGGTAAAATTAATGTATTTTCTGTAAGACTTTCTTGTTTTAAATGTATTGTTTCTTTATTGTTTATTTCAGGATGTAAGGGGACTGGATTTATATCATAATATTCTTCATTATCTGTATTTGAAAACTCACTTTCCAAATCAGATTCTAATGCACACAAATTGAAATTTGCTATTTTCTTGGCACTTAATACTTTGATTTTTTTTTCTTTTTTTTTCTTTTTGTGTTTTTTTGGACTTTCAATTATTGGTTTTTTATTTTCTTCTTTATCAGAGTCACATGAAGAAGAACACGATGAAGAACATGAACAATTTGACCCACATGAACTAGACGAAGATGATGAATTACAGTGCGAAGAACATGATGATCTTTGACATGAAATGTTAAAAGAATTATTTAATATGTTCTCACTACCATTTACAATAGCTGCTAATTCATCTGGATATGGAGGTGATTTTATTATTTCAGATTGATTAGTAGTGGATAACAAAGTATAATCATGGTCTAATAATGCAATATGAACCAATTCTTTTTTTTGTTTACTAACATAATCCCAATAATTACCACTTGGACTAGGGGAATCTAAAAATTTTTCTGGTTTATGACGAGGTGTTTTTTCTGTATCACTATCAGAAGAAAGATTTAATGGAGGAAGATTATAGTCAAATCCTTTTTTTTTCTTCTTTTTCTTCTTTTTTGTAGGAGATAATACTTCTTTATGAATTAGTTCATGTTTGTTAAGTAACTTTTTTGAAATAAATTTATTAGAACAAGTGTTACATTCATACGGAATATTTCCTGAGTGCCATCTTTCATGTACTCTTAATAGTAGTGCATTAGAAAATGTTCTTCTACATTCATCACACGTAAACATTGCAGGTGGAACACAAAAATGATATGTATAAGGCCATTTTTTTGTCAAACATGACTTACATTCTTTGCTGTCCCTATTATGCTTCCAAAACATATGCTCAAAAATATCCTTTTTACTGAGATAAGTTATGTTACATTTCAAACACATATGTCTCATTTTATGTTTATTAACATGTAATGCTAAACTTTGTTGATTGGAGAATGTTTCCAGACAATAATCACATGCATTATGAGCTTTTCTTAAATGAACCATACATCGAAATGCAGATGGAATTTGACCCTTTCCACAAAATAGGCATCTAAATAATAAATTTTGCCAAATTCCAAGATCCACACCAGGACATAAATGGCAATGCAATTCACCATAGTTGGAAAAAGTTATTTTACACATAATACAATCATAAGTTTTTCTTGAATGAACACTACGTTTATGAGAATTTACTTCTTTCATTTGCTTTGATGTAAATTGACAATTGAAACAATAGAAAGTATTATTAAATGGAATATGACTTAATTCATCTGTAGAATCATAGTTTTCTGAGTTTAAATAAATATTTTCTAGAGCATTTAAATTTGATTTTAAAATATTAACAACATCATCAGATGATTCATTTTTTACTGTCATAAAACGGTGTTTTTCTATCATATGCAATGCTAGTTGCTTACCGTTTACAGCAATACAAGTTGAATTATGACAGTATACACAAGTCAAACATGAAGTTCTAATGCATTCTTTTAGTATTACATTAATTTTCATATCTGTCAATTTATGATCTAGAGTTAGAGCCATAACTTGAAGATTATCATTTTGTGTTGAGTTATTAATATCTTGTTGTGTATCTGATCCATTTATCCATGGACTTTTTTCTGATAAAACTGTAGACATATTTTTAATTTCAAGTTTAAACTCTTCTTCAAGATTTTGTAATGTTTGTACAGATATTAAGTCTGTAGTGTTTGGTGATTGGGATAATGTATTAATTTTATCAAATGATAACTCACTATTTTCAGTACAATGCATATTTGTAGATAGATTATTGTCACAATTTGTTTGAGACATAGAATAATGTGAATGATAAGTATCTCCTTCTGAAGCACATAATTTCTTAAGAGTTTTGTTATCAATTTCATCAGTTACCGATATATCAGAACAACTTAAGTCTTGTAATGTGCTTTCAAAAAGGTCATCAGCTTTAACATCATCTATAACATATTTTATAATGTCATCAATAACATTACATATTTCCAATTCATCTTTACGCTGCTCGCAATTTTTAGTACCCAAAACAACATCCATCACATCTATGTTATCTAAGTGTAATTCATCATCTTCAGAGCTACTACTAGAAAATTGAGAATTTGTAGTAGGTGGAATTGGAAGTCGAGATGAAAAAAGAGGCTGGGCGAAATACCTTTTTTTTACATTATCACTAAATATATCTTGAGATTTATTAAGTTTATCTGAGGCTACTAATTGATGAATATCTTGTAAGTGACATATTAAGTCTTTATGAATCTTAAATTTAGCTTTACAAACTAAGCAAATGTATTGATGATGGGATTCCCTGATATGGTCAAACAACCTCATTCTTTGTAAATTTTTTCCACAAATATCACATTTACTAATCCCACTATGTAATGACATATGCCCGTATTTACCGTTTGGTCGTTTTACTTGTTTATAACTGCTATTTTTGAAAGTACTATTCAAATTATTTCTCATGGCCATCTTCATGAATCAACATTTATTAATTTAATTTGTAAATTATTTAATCTGAAAAAAAAGTAAAAATCATATTTATTTAACCATGGAAATCTCTATTGACAATAGAATATAGATACAAGCTTTATAGTAAACAAATAACATTCATTAAGATTAGAAAACCATATAATAATTACCTTTGTATTTTATACATAGAAATACTTGAATTTTCTTTTTCAAAAGTACATTTAAAATCATTAAAAATCTGAAAAAAAAATTAAACCAACATTGAGTGAATAAGCATTACCATGTTTGCATGCAAGAATACTTATAAATTGGTTTATTATATTGCCTAATTGAGTCCGTAAAAAAAGAAACTCCAATATGTTTCTATAGTATTTTAAAGATGGAATAATGATTAGAAATATCATTAATATCATTTTCATAATTTATTCATGTAATAAAGTACACAATTAAAAAATAAAAATGATAAATTTCAGCAATGTGAAGCATCTAATAAAATTTAATTATTAATGATTTTAAATAATAAAGAAACTTCTCTAGATCCAATTTAACAAATATGATAATATCAGATACAAAATAAATGGACTATTGAATAATGAAAACCCAACAACACAAAAATGGAAGCAAGGTCTAGGGATTTGTGGTCGATGATAAAAAGAACCTTTAAATTTAACTGTACCTAATTCAATGAAGTATATTAATATGCGAATTTGGAGGGAAAATATTTTACAAAGAAAACATGAAATACCGAATGTTCATAACGTTTAGTGTATTACAATTTATGTAAATGAAAAAAGATAAACAATACAATAATACGTTTTACATTATTTTTATCTATTAAGCTTTGTCATAAGCAAAATTAGTAATCAAATTTTACTACCATCAGATTTTACTCAAAGATAATCAAATACGAATATAAACTTAATACCTTACTACCTCAAAAGGTCAACGATAATTGTCTAATGATTAAAAGTAATTGTATATAAGAACTAAGAAAAACCAATCGATATAGGAAAAAGGCGTACCTGTGGATAAAATGAAATTGGTCTACATATTAACTTCGATGGAATAATAAGTACCAAAGAATTGAAATATTTAAAATTCACATATAATAAAATTGACACTAAAAATTTGAGTAGAAAATGATTTTTGAGTATTCAAAACAACGAACCCGTTTTGTGTTTATTTCCAAGCAATAGATACCCCTCTCCGGGCGCGGAAAATGGCGTCGCCCAGCATTTGATTAAAGATTAAACACTGCTATCGGCTCAACAACTTAATTTTTATACTCCAACGTAGTCGAATTTCACTTCACCACTGAACGAAATTTTTATTTACAATTCATGTGTTCGGGTCAATTTATTATGAAATTAATTGAATATTAAATAAGAAAAATTGATTTGCATTCGGTGTAAACACTACGTTGGACACTACCTCGTGTCTTAGCCTTTATGTGTTTCGTACTAAATATTTTATCATTTACAAGCAAAATTTCGAAGTCTTCTAGACCGTGATAAGATCTTAACATCACAAAATGTGACTTTTTATTTCAATTGCATGTAAATTTGTCCAGTTATTAACAATTAGTGAAAAATTGTCTATTGTTCTTTTATACAAGAAATTTAAGGTTATGAGCTATGACAGAACACAGAACCAGTAAAATATAGTATGTTAGTCTATGCTCAGGACTATACAGATGGTGGACCAAGCGTGTGGTTATGATAAATTTTCAACTAGAAATATACAACTTCCATGGTAAAAACTCAAACATAAACAATTGGTAAAATATAACACCACTGATAGCATCCAATTTTCTTATCATATTGGTTGTGTATATTGTTGATAACGACAATAGCCATTGGCATTGGCATAGTGCCATAGTACGTTTTACTGTAGGCCGTAGGGCACTTTATGTACAGTAACGTAAATTTATTTTATTATATTTATTTATTTATGACTATGGTCGCACTCTTTAAATGTATTGAATGTCCAATAATTAAAAAATTGTTCTATACTATTTGATAATTTAATTAACGTACTTACATTCGTGTTGATGTATTGAGTTTACCGTTTAAACGTCGTAACTACATTAATTTAGTTCCTGACAATAATTTTTTATAGTTAAGTGTTTAATTATGAACTGTTCATAAATGTAGACTTGTCAATATATCCTAGATCTGTATCTATATGGGTATGAATTAAAGACAACACTAAAACATACTTACATCTTGAAGACTATTGTATATTAAATGATTTAACTTAACTTTTCCTCGTCAAATTTGTTATTTGATTGTTGTGCTTGTAGATATCTTTCTACGTTTTAAGTGTAAATGTATTATTAATATCCAAAGACATTCGATACATATAAAGAAAGTGTAGTTGAATGTTTAACTATACATGTAAATAAGTTTTTATCTATAATCGTGTAATTTTTAGTTCTGTAATCCAAATTTATATTGTTTTGTTGGATGTCAATACAATATATTTGTACTTTTGTGTCCAATACAACTTCTTAATTGTGTATTATTTAAAAGTTGTTTTATATAAGATTACGTATTATCTGGGTATTTTTTTCGCATTGTTTAGGAAGCAATGTTAAACTGATTATGGCTTTAATGGGTGATCAGATGATTGCTGGTGCTCAAAGGCGGCAACCAGCATATGTACGTTTTCAAAACAATACCTGCTATAGCGTTGAAGTGAATTGGATAAATTTTTGCAATAATGAACAGCCCTACTGTATTTTAGATCCTAACAAATTTGTAGATGTAAATACATTTTCTACACATACATGGGTTTTTAGGTTTGCTAATGTTCATATTTTATTTTATAATTTGAATGAGTTTAACTATTGTTTTATATTTGTAGGGAATGTATGTCAAAGAGTCGGATGGTTGTTGCTGGAAGAGAAGTATTCATTGCGACTCCTTGGATTGAAGAACACAGACGCCTTGAATTTAAACACCCTATCACTGTACCATTAAGAACAATGGTTTTAATTGAAATGCCAGCTATGGACTTACGACAACTATGCTTATTAAAATTAGCTCAATTATTGAAAACTAAGGATGACATAATCATGTTAGAAATACCTAAAACACTTCAAGAGGAATTAATAGAAATGATATCAAACAAAGGAGATAGTTCAACGTAACTAACCAATTAATGTTATATTTTTTTAACTTGTTTTATATTATTTTATTATAAATTATTATATGAAAATATTAAGTTTAAAGCATCTGCGTTTAGTTCCCAAACCAGTTATGATGAAATAAATCTATTTAATTTAAAAAGCTAGTTATTATACATATTGTTTGACCAAAGGTATTTCTGTAAATATTGGATATTTACATGCATATAAATATAAGGTAAAATAATCATTTTGACAATATATGAGTATAATAAAGGAACTAATATTATTTTAAAATTTGATATTGTTTGCATGTTTTTATCATGCATACATGCAAATTTTTTTGTTGGTCAAAAATAAAAATAAAACTACCAAATATAAAAAAATTGTATACTATTTTTATTCAACGTATGTAATATCCAAATGATCAAAATAAAAGAAACTTAGATAAAGATGTATTTGAATTAAATTGGATATAATATATTTAATGCCTTTAAAAAAATTGTGTTTACATATTATATACATTGTATCATTTCCAATACAAACACTTAAAATATATTTCAACAAATAATTGTACAAAATATTAAACTGTAATGTAGTTACAAATTACATTTTGATTCGATTTATTTTAATGTCCATGTACAATATGAATGAAATAATTGAAATTAAAAGCACAAAAACTTGAAAAATAATTAAAGTTATTTATATTAATCTGATTATTTTTACACACAAAAATTGATTTATAAAAATACATTAAATTTCAAGCAATTAATGTATCATCTAGCTCTTCAATTTTAGTGTCCATTTGAGTTGAAACTTTACGTAATACTTTATTTATAACATCATTTAGCGCTTCACGTGCACCAGTGTCCAATAAATTTAAACAAGCCTAAAATAAAAAAATATTAAATCACTAAATTTGTATATTACTGTTATTTTTAATGTACTGTCAAGTACTAATAAACTGCAGCTTTTGCACAATTATTTACCTCCATTTCAGGTCCAGGCTGCATATAAAAATATGTGCAAGTTTAAAATATTTATACATATATATAAGTGAATGATTTATTAAATAATAATTATATTTATAATTAGTTTAATGACTTTTAATTTATCTACTTACAGTTTTATTTTTTATTATTTTGAAACCAAGAGCAGATAGGCTATTTTTGGTTTGCTAAATTATTCAAAAAGGCCCCTAAATGAAAAATAAATCACTTACTCCCCCTAAAAATGTTATATTGTAATATTTAGTGTATGATATGTGTACCTAACAAAAATATAAATTAGAAAATTATTAATTTTAAGACAATAACAAATTATATTCAAAACTAAACTTTTAATTTCTAATATATTTACTATTTTTTGAGATCCTTAAATGTCTTATTTGACTTTTTTTCAATTATTTTATTCCTCTCCCCCCACCCCTATTCAATATAATATATGTTTATATTATTGTTATTAAATTTTAGGTGCCTGTAGAACAATGTGAATAGGTTAGAGATATAAATAGGTAATAACATGATATTAATCTAAATATGTTGAAAACTTTAAAATGTCACAGTGATCTGGTATGAACAAAATATAGTTAATTTACACAAAAGTTTAAAACATATAAAAAAATATTTAAGAACTACAATAGAATAACTAATATTGTTATTTGTTTTAATATATAATTTTATCCAAATCTGAACTTAAAATGTCTTTAAGAAAAAATTGTGTTTATATTATATTTGAAATTTTTTTATTCCAGTATGAACTTCTTAAAAGAAACTTTATATTCAATTTTCATGGCTTAAATATAAAAATTGATATTTTTACAATTTTAATAACATTAGTCTTTAAATTTTTGTAATTTTGACAGAAATTTTTTTTCTCATTTATAATTATTAAAACATTTTACATATTTAGAAATAGTTCCAAGAGATTCAAAATATTTTAAAAATCATTTCATGTATAGAAAATGCTAATTTAAGCATTTAGTGTAAATTTTGTTTATATAGTCATTATTTTTAAATTACAACAGTAAAATAAAAACATTTGTGAAAAAATTCCATTACAAAATAAGGAGAGGGATCATTAGGATTACTATATTTGGTAAGCCTATCCACTCATGTTTAAGAATAATGGTTTTAAATAACAATAATAATTAAATATTGCACAGTAGTTAATTAAAATTTAAAGTCATTGATAAAATTGTATTTACCTGTAATGTTGCATCGCCTTGTTGCAATTTAAGAACCGATACTAGAGCTATTTCACTATTAGATTTGACGTAACAATTTTTTTCTTTAGTTCCATTTACTAACATTGGTATAGTTGCTTTTTGAAATTCTGGAGATAAAGTTACACCAGATTTTCCTAAATATGAACAGATATGTGCCACTAACTGCTTAACTTCATTACTCGATTGATTCATCAACTATAATTTATTATTTAAAATATAATAAAACATGATATTGTGATATTAAAAACAGTTTGTTTTTTTTTACATACTCTGGTAAATGGATTTAAAAGTTGTGATGGTATCGTTGAACAAATATTCATTAAATGTAAAAATAAATATCCACAACTTCGAACTCCATTCATTGCAATAGAAATCTAAAAATTAAAAATATTCAAAACATTTATAATGTGAGTTACAAAAAAAAAAATATTTATTTGTTACCTTATCAGCTTGTAAATGAGATAAAATTGTTTTTATAACTTTATCACAATATAATGAACTAAAAACTGAATCAGGGGATTCTTTAAGAGCAACGAATAAAGCTGAACTTCTACCATGTCTCAATATTGGATCTAGTGAAGGATCGTCGACTGTTGAAAAATTTATTAAAATTATAATTAATATAAAATAAAGTGACAATAATAAACTTTGATAAGTTTTACTAACTTAAAATATGATCATTTAAAGCAACATTTAATTGTTCAGGTGATAACCATTTACATAAAGCACCAAGACAACCAGCAGTACCACTTCGTATAGTATCTTCTGGATTCCCAAGTCCTTCTCTTAAAGTCATAAATACAGTCCTTCGAACCTGATCTGACATCTTATCGCCAGCTGGTGAAATAACACCACGTAAAGCTTGAAGCATCGTTTCTCTGTTGAAAAGAAATAATATTAATATATAAAAAAATTAAGTGCGTTTTTATATTGTGTATTATTCTTATAGTTACTTTATGGTAATATCCTCTGAATTTTTTACACCAGAATGTAGATCAACAAAAATTGTTTCAGTGCGAGAATGCACAACAATTAAATGGCTCAAAGCGGTAGCTGCTTTAAGCCTAACTTGTCTATTTGGGTCTTGTAATGATTTCAAAAATGTTGTTTGCAACTGGGGTAAAAACTGTTTTAAATTACTACCAGCCTTGGCTAATAATAAAGCAACTGTTTCTAAAATTGCTGATTTAATGTTCCAAGTATAACGTTCATTTAAAATACGAATGAGAGGTCCAGTCATGTTTAGTACAGGAGATGTTAATCCTTCTTTTGCAGCTACTTTTACAACTTCTCCCCAACCTTGAGCTGCTTGCTCTTTGATTTCTGGACTACCATTAAGAATTGCTTCCCTAAATATTGGTACAAATGGATCAGCCCCCTATAAATAAATAAAGATATTAAAAGTTAAATATTGAATAAAATAATTGTAAAAAAATCTTAACACCAATCAAACTGTTAAATAAAAAAAAATTTTTGTACAAAAATAGTACTTCTAAGACTTTTTGTCAGATGTGTACTTTTTTGTTTAAATAAGTCAAGTTTTTGGTGAAACATAATTTGACACTTTCTAATAGTCCATATGTAAAATATACACGTGGTATTTCCTTGGTACCATTAAAATAATTTAACGAAAATTAATAAAAAATATTTTTATTTTTTTTCCATTTGAACCGACAGCAGAGGAGGATCTGTGTGAACGCTACTACTCCTCTGCTGCAATAAAAAATATTTGATGTATTAAGTTATAGAACATTTGTTAAAATTTTCAGATTATTTTCATAGGGTTAAAAATTATTTCAGGGTAGTTTAAGAATAATTCAAAGTAAAATTATGAAAAACAGCATTGGTAAATAATATTGTACAGGTTTAGTTATAAATTATTAACATAATTTATGTCAAATCTGAAAAAAAAACTTTGTAAAAATACCTCACAATAGAATACACTCAATAATATTATAATTTATTATATTATACAATAACTTGAATATTCTGTGATTAGAATATAGATGGATAACAATGATTAATTAGTATTAGTTTTTACAATTATTTTGTCTAATTATTTACTTGGCACGTATGTATTAGTAATTTAACCTGATCATTTTCAATGTTTTATTTTGGTTGTACACGTCTAGTTAAATATTATGAATCAAAAAACACCAATAATGAAAATAACAATAACTCACACACTGTAATTTATGTATAACAATAAACAATAATAAAACCTTTTTAAAAACTTAAGTCAAATATTTTTTACCCAAAACTTTGATGACTCAAAAATCTTAGCTAAAACAATAAAATTGCATTTTCTTAAATTTTGAATTATCAAGGATTTAATGTACAACATTTTGCTGTGATATTTTATCAAAATATTTATTTATTTTAATTTTGTAGACCTTAAAGAATTCTAACATCCAGATAGTAATAAAATATTTATTTTATAAAAAGTATTTAACTTACTTTAGGTATACAAAAACCAGGAAGATATTCTAAATGCTTGAAATCACTCATCACAAATTTTATAGCTTGACGTATTTCAAATACTAAATGATTACTTTGTTTTGTATCGACAGACTGTAATAAGTAAAAAATGTATAAGCCATAAAGAATGAGAATAAAGTAAATTATATAATAAAATACTTTGCAAACAGCATTTAAAGCTTCCCAAGCTAATTGCAAATTTTTCTCATCTTGATCCTTAAATTGATAAATTATTCCATGTAAAAGTTTAGGAACATATGAACTATAATCTGCTTTTGTATGTGTGCAAAATGCAGCCAATAATTGTAATGCCGATTGCTTTTGAGAAATATTTTCTGCTTGTGTGGCATCTAATAGTAAATCAACCATAGTTCCAGCATCATCACAAACTGCTAACACAACAGCTTGACAGTATACTAGTTCCTAGTAAAATAATTTTTCTGGTAAATTTTATTTAAAAAATAATAACAATTATTTTACCTCAGCAGCTGATTCAGTTTTAGATAGAGCAGTTAATAAGGCAGGTAATATTTTATGTAAATATTTATTAAGAGCTTCTCCAGCAACTGAGGCTAAAATTGATAAAGCTTTTGTATTAATAGGTGGTTGAGTCAATTGAGGTATTAAATATGGCAAAACTACTCGGGATTTAACTGCCATTACTTGGCGTAATCCATCTAAAGTTCTCTCTGCAATTTCTGGATCAGGGTTATTCTGAAAAAATTTTGTTTACTTAGATAATCAATATTGATTGTTATTTATATTGCATACCAAATTATTTAACATGGATGGTAAAATATCATCTAATGCTCGATGTCCCACAGTTGAATGTAAACTATCAAATGTTTTAGCAGCAGCTTGTCTTACAGATGGTAAAGGATCAGCTAATGCTCGACTAAATAATCAAATTAGTACAATTGGTTTTTATAAAAAGCAAATACTTTTTAAGTCTTAGAAATAATTACCTGACAGTAGGAACTAAGCTATCTACAAAGGTCAATACCATATCTCTACTAGTAGATGCCATAATCTCTGACAAACCAATACAAACTCCTTGACGTTGATCAGCTTGTTCAGACTCAAGACCTCTTTCTAAAATTGGAATTATGTCTGGTAGTACACGTTCTCCTAGTTTCCTCACTAGATCTCCTAAAGTTCTTGCAGCTACTTGTCTTTTATCAAAACTAGTACTAGCTAAGCATCCCAATAATAATGTAAATAATGTTGGTAATATTTCTCTTAAAGTACGTGGAGTATTAGTGACAACTACTTTCCATACATGTAATGCTGCTTGGCGTACCATTAATGCAACATCAGAACGACCCATGTATAAACCAGCTAATACTCGATTACGTCTTTCTGCTCCCAAAGTGCCAATAATAGCCTTAAAAAATTTAATTTAATTTTGTCAAGTCCCAGGTTTTAAAATAATTATTAATAAATATAATATCAAAAACAATATTTTTAATTATTTTTGCTATAAAAGTTCACAAACCTTGTGAGAATGTTCTGTACCAAAATTATCATCATCACTAGCAGTTTCTGTACTCATTTTACCAGATACACCAGATATGCGGTATAATAAATCACCAAGTAATTGAACAGAACTGTAAAAATAAAATAAAAGTATAAACAGATTTAATTAAGAAATAATTATATATATTTAATATTTATTTTATCTGAAGTCTGACAACTAAGGCCATTAGCAATGAGTAGGTATAAAGTCTGTAAGGTTATGGAACACGTGTGTGTATGTTCGCAAAACACAATAATGACTGAGGCCAACCTACGCCTTACACAAAATAAATATAATTTTACCTGAATCTAATACGCCAATTATCATCAAACAAGCCACGTTCAAGCTCAGGTAAGAGTAGTTGTATTGCAGATTCTGCATACATATTTACAATTCGTTGTCCTGCTTTTAACGCAGTTTCCCGAACAAATTCATTTTCATCTGCTAAAGCCTAAAATTTTAAATTATGTAACATGAAATTTTATGATTTTAATTAAGTTTTTTTTGTTTTTTTTTTTTTTAATTGAGATACAAAATATATTGATAAAGCACTAATAGCAATATATATTTTCATATTAATTAATAAATAATTTAAAAAGCAATAGAAAAATTATTAATATATAAAATTCTAAAAATATAATTGACTAATTAAGTAATAATTTTTGTTCTTATAAATACAATGTCAAAAATAGACATGATTAAAATATTATTAGTTTTATATTTATGAGATCTATAGTTAATTACATTTGACTTTTTATACTCTGCAAATTAATATAAAATGTTGATTTTTTTTTTTTAACAAACTTTTTTTAAAAACTTTCAGTTAAAGTATACTTTCCATGACTAGTGGTTGCTGCCATCCGCATTAACAAGCAGTAATGACTGCTTTGTTATGGAATATAGTCTTTTAGTCAAAATAGTCTTATAATTGTTGGCCAACCACTGTACAATTCATAAACAATACAGTGTGATTGGTTGATGTGGCCAGCAATAACACTAGTAACAGCTTTAAAATTGTATTTTCAACTATACAACATAGCAGTTGTAATAAAAATAAAGAATTATTTCTTAAATATATATTCTTTTGTTATTTTAAATTCCCTTTATGAGTTTCTAACAATTTTAACTTATAAAAGTACCATCACAACAAATAGGATTTAATATTTAATTTTTCATACAATTAAAAACCAATTATCAATCTTATTAATAAATATAAACTGATCAAATGTTATTATTTTCTCATAAACTAACTAAAATTAAAGGATTTTGGTTTGTTTAGTGACTAATTTTAACTAATCAAACCAAAAATTATTAAAAATATAGAGTGTAGTAATTTATGTTGTCAATCAGAGAATTAAAACTTTACACATTTTAAAAATAAAAAATAGTTAACAATTGATTTTTCTTTTCAAAAATGTTGTATTTTAATTACTTCAAATTTTATAAAAAAATATTTTTTTAAATATTGAGTATGTTACATTAAAAAAAAACCACTAATATATAAATATTTTATCTATTGTTTTTGGGAACAAAAGGAAAATTATTTGATACAATTTTTTATTTTATGTAATACTTACTTTTAATATGGGAGTAATAATTTGATTTATATATGGAATGAAGTCATCATTAAATACACCTGGCATATATATGAACATCATGATATAGCCATCTTTAACTTGAGGGGCTATATCTGTACGTTCTGCAGTTGCAATAATTTCTACACATAAAAAAATTAAAAATTAAATAATACTTAAAAATATTAAATTAAAATTAGTGTTAGTATTTAATAATATAACATGCCTGGCATCAAACTGTGAAGCTTATTTACACCAAGTCCGCCAACAACTTCACTGAGACCTTGAGCAGCACCTGACCTATCTACTGAACTAGCTTCAGATGTAAGAGTTTGCATTAACCATGGTAATAAATCCTGGAAACTAGTTTCACCCATTCCTCGAACCATAGCCCCAAGAGCACGAGCAGAAACTGTCCGAACTTCTGGAACCGGATCTAATAAAGAATTTTTTAATCCTGGTATAATATTTGGCAAATATGGTGTCAAATCCTTTTGATCAGTCAATGAATACATATTTCCAATAATTTGAGCAGCCATTTTTCTTGTTTCTGTTGAGCGATCTATAAATGCCCGTTGTACTACTGGCATAATTAAAGCAAGAGATGGAGCATCAATGAAATGAACAAATTTAGTATTCAACAAAATTTGTAAGCAAGGAGCAGTCTTATTTGATGGATTTTGAAGAGCTTCAAGAAGAACAGGTACAATAGCTACAAACAATTTTTTTTTATTAGTTAAATTTAAAAAATATATAAAATAAATGTACTAAAACAATACCTTGAATTTCTGGATTTCGTATAACTGAACCAATAACTTTTAAAGCTTGAGCTCCAGCTTCTTGAACACTAATATGGGAATCACTTAAAACTTCTATTAATTTTGGTACAATACTTGGTAAACAGGATGATAGTTGTTTAGGCGCACAGTATGCCATTGCTCCTAATAACTCTATTGAACCTAATAATCAAATAATAAAATTAATTTTATTGAATGAGAACAAGTAAATGTATTCTTACCAGTTTTTGTTCTCCAAGAATCTCCTTCCAATGCATTCAATAATGATGGTAAGATTAGTTTAACACCATGAGCTGATAACTTGCTCATTATTGCTTTTGAGCAATCATAAGTAGCTGTTCGTACATACTCACTATTGTCACCAAAACATGATAACAAATGTGGTAAAACATGAACAATATATGGTTCAAATAATCGACCTAATGTTGAACATAACATTTCAAACGCAAATAATGCACCTTCACGCTTTTTATAATTTTTCTTATCTTGAATAGCTTCAGTTAAAGTACTCATAATATCATACTGCTTTAAACTTAGAATACCAAGACCTTTAATAACGCCTGCAATTCCATGAGCAGCTCCCTTGCGTTCTCCAAATGATGCAGAATTGAAAAGGCGGGTTAAAAGTTTTTTTAATATAGCTGATGCATCATCCTTGACCAATGACATAAGAGGTGATAAACAGTTGGCTACTGCCTCTTGAACTTCTTGTGATGGAGTAGACAATGCTTCAAGTAATCTATTAGTAATAGGTTTTAATTTGGGATCATCAGAATCTAAATGCCTTGCTAAACTTCCCATGCATACAACAACACCTAACCGAACATTATCAAAACTTTCAGAGGAAGTTGCTTTTTTTAAAAACTTCTCAAATATGTTCATTAGGCGATCAACATTATTTTTTCCGTGTAAATTGACAACAGCTACTGCAGCTTTAAGCATATGTTCTCTTACAACATTATTTCTATCATCTAAACTTGTTGAAACAAAAAAGTTTACTAATTGTATCACCATATCATCACTTAATAATAATGACAACTGTTCCAATGCCATAGCTACACCAACTCGACCTTGCCAATCATCTAGTTCTGCATTACTATCTGGTTTCTAAAACAAAAATGTTATGATAATGTGGAGTTTAAATTCAGAAAAATAAATCTTTAAAATAGTAGAACATTAAAAAAAACATAAGGTTTATCATTGATATTTATTATTTTATTTAAAGTTAATACAAAATATATTATGAAAGGTGGTTTAAGGGTCACTAAGTAAATTATCTCAAGGGATATCTAAACATTTATTAATTAATACCATTAAGATTGAAAACATTATAAAAAATTTAAAAGCCTGTACTGAAAATATGTTTTTTTAATTAAGTTATTATTTTTTTAATTTAATGAAAAAATAGTTAATACTCATAAATGAAATTGTTGTCTTTAGCATTCCATATAATTTTCTTAAATTGAAAAACATTATATCATCAAAACCATTTTGTGAAAGTCTGGTTTATAATAAAAGTACTATTAAGATCATTGAAAAAGAACCATATATTATTTACAAAAGTTAAGTCTCAAGAAATCATTAAAAAAAAAAGAAAATTGACATTTCTTATTAGTTATTACTAGTTAGTATTTAATAAAAATAGAATTATAATATTAAATACAGTAAACATCTATACCTAATAAATAAAATAACCTCCAAAAAAGAGGCAAAACCTTTTTAAAATGAGTAAATAAAAACAATCAGTTGAAGGAAAGAAGGTTTATGTTTTTGAGGAATGAGTAGAATACTTATAAACGTGTTTTGGATAAGAGAAAAAAAATTTCTAAAGAAAGTCCTGGAAAAAATTTATTTTTAACACGTTGACTTTCATATGATCACAGGCAGAAACTTTATGATAATATATTTCATTTTTATGACTGCCAGCAATCATATTAGTTTATTATCTACATGCCGTATGTGCGTGCTACCAATAACATATATTTTCTTTTATAAATTGTAAATTTTGAGTTCAGTTTATTATAACGTATGTAAGAATAGCATAGTGGAAAAAAAAACGTATTGAATAGTCTATTAATTACTTTTACATGACATTTTATCATATGTAAAATAAACTGATAAATAATGGCCTTCAATAACTATAGTTGCACAGAAAATATCACTATTAACATTTTTGGAATGACAATAAAAATGATGAGTAGCCCATAAGATTACATGGTTGTGTGACTACTGGTTAGTCATATGTAAATCAACATGTTAAGTCAATTTTATGTAACAACAAAATAAATTGTATAAATTTATTTTGAAAAAACTAAAATTTTGTGTCTATCAAGGTTTAATTGATTACTAGAAATCATTTAATTTCCTACTGGACACAATAAATTAAAATTTAAAACTTACCATAATTTTACTGTTATATAAAGTGAGTAATTTTTTTAATGCAATATTTGTGGCATTTATAGGAGAGTCTTTTAAAAGTGAAAAAAGAGCAATAGACACAGCCTTTTGTACATCAGCAACTGGATGAACAACATCTTCTAATAAATTTTCTAAAAGTCCATTAATTTTAATATCCAATTTTGAAGATTCCCATAGCTCATTTGCTAATTCCCTAGTAACAAAAATACACAAATACTAATTAACAATAAGAAAGATTTATGTATGCTGAATGATTCTTTAATCAAACAATACTCATAATTTTAAAATCTAATAATGTTTTTTATATAATTTCTAGTCAAAATAAATCATTTATTAAGGTTTTTACTTTTTTGAATGACAACATAGAAGTTTAAATATCATGAGCAAACATTTGTTTAGAGTTTTTTAATACATATAAATCGAAATTCAGACAAATAATTAACAAATTAAAAGTATTTAATGCATAGGTAAGCAGAATAATACACTAACACTTATGGGGTATATCCAAATTTTAATTTTTTTGTATCAAATACTATGAAAAATATTAAACTTAAGAATAAGAAATTAAAAACGTATGTTTTCATTCAAAAAAATATATATTTTGAAAAATGTTTAACAATAAATTTTATTTTATTTTGTCTGAAAAAATTGTGTAAAAAAAATATTATTTTTTTGAAATAATGAATGTTGTTTGCTAAAAATATTGTCCAGTATAAATATATATTTTTTTACAGTTTAACCATAATTGATAATCATACCTATTTTCTTCATAAATGTCAAATTTAGTAATCCATATTCTTTTAGTTATTCTTAGTATAATATGATTATCTTTTTTTGATGTTGGAAAAGCATCTACCACTTTCTGTAAAGCTTTAATAGCTGTATATCTAACATTACGAGAGGGATTCTGAAGTGCTGATAATAAACATAATATTTCATCACGGTTAGCTGGATCACATTTCTCGCTAGTAGAGCAACTATCAGCAACTGATAGAAATGCTAATACAGCTTTGTCTTGAAGACTGCCTGTTGTACGGCTTATTATTTCAGACAAAAGTTGAAACATTTCAATACGTGGTAAAAATTTAGGTCGTTGAAGATCTAAATTGCTTTTTGCTTTTGAAGTTGCTTTAGGACGAACAGTTGATTGATTTTTTATTAATAATAAACAATCATGAACCAATTCATGATCAAAAGGTAAATCCAACATAACAGCTCTGATCAATGTGAAAGAATAACAAAATGACGGAGATGTAAATTCTTGTCGCTCTTTTTTAGTTAAATCACAAAATAAATTAACAAGCCTGATTGTTGCTACTTCTAATAAACATATTAAAAAAAAAATAAAAAAGTATTATCAAAACGAATTTAAATTGTTTCTTAATAAATTTTAAGTTATTAAACTTACCAATATCTTCTTTTAACCAAGCATCCTCAATTAAACATTTTGGCTTTAATTTTCTTAAAGTATAATAAGCTATAGCATTGATTTGAGAATTTGATAATTTAATGCGATCGTTATTAACTTTAGATGCAACTTTGGTTTTTTTTGTTTCATCAGCATGAAAAGCACAAAATGCTAAATCTATAAATATTTTTTTCAAATGTGGTGCAGCTATAATTGATTGTAAATTTGAAATTATTCCAGGTATCAAATATCTCAATGACTGAGAAACTAAGAGAGAATTTCCAACAATAATTCCTCTCAACATTGAAACTAAAGTCAATATTTCATCATTCATCTATAAAATAAAGTACAAACAAATTATTTAAGTTCAGTGGTTAATTTAACAGTGACTTGTGATAATATAGTTAGTGAGTTAACAAAATTAATAAAAATTTAAAACCAATTCGTAATTTATTTAATTTTCTTCAAATTAATAATCATACAAATAAACATAATAAAGACTTAGATTTAAATATTAACAAATCGATGACAAACAAATTTATTAATAAAATATATTAGGAGTTTAGTTGACATTTACTTTGTTAACAAAAACGAAGAATATTGTATACCGAATAACAAAGAAAAAATTTATTTCCAAAATAAGTCCAGAAGAGGTGTGTTATATAAAAATAAATAATATTTAAGCTATATATTTGTTTTATTAAATTACAATGCAAGTAATTTTATATTTCTTATTTTTCTAAAGATTATTAAAATAGAAATAACTTATAAAATTGTACCGCACAAATTTTTGGTAGCTCAAAAATCTAAATATAATTTAGAAATTTTTTAATTCTACTCAATTGGGCATTTTTTATTCATGCATCATAATTTTAAAAAATCATTTAATATAATTTAAATAATTATATATTTTTGAAAACTTTTTCAATTATTAAGGATTGCTAGAGCTATTAATCTTAAGTATATTTTCATGTATTATTGGGAGATTAACTTAAGTTAGTTATTTTATATGTACAATGTTTAAATACTTACACTCTTCAATCTATTTCTTATAGCTGCTTCTTTTTCTAATTCTAAAGCAATAGCTTCTTTTTGTTTAGCAGAAAGTTCTGGTTTCTTAAGTTTTCCTTCTTTAATTTTTTTTGCTTCAATTTCTTTTCTTAGCATAATTTCTTCTTGTTGTTCTTTATATGAGTAGGCTTTACTTTCTCTTTTCATATTTTTAATATTCATATTATTTTCATTTTCTTTTCTATAAATCAAATATAATGATAATTTATGTAAAATTATGGATAATTAGTTAATAAAATTTAATATTACTCTGCTAATATTGATTTATCAAATAATTCTCCTTCTGGATATAAATATATGTTATACTCGACCTCTGTTACACATATATATTTATCGCATTCTTCTAACTGTTGTTTAACTTTATCAATAACTGCAGGTACAATTGAATCTCCATTCATTCTTGTTATAGTACTTAAAACATTTTCCATACACTAATAACACATTTAAAATTGATATTAAATTAATTTTATTATAACGGAGGTTTCAAGTCACTACATAGTACATACTCATTTTTATTTAATTTAGATATTAAAATAGTATTAAATCAATATAAATTTGCAATTTATGTAATAAAATACTATGAAGACGTAACACAAATTAATTAATAATTCACAAAATAAGACTTATTTGATTTATAGATAATTTAAAAAAAAAATGTTCTTACTTTGGTAGGTAAATAATCATCTATTAGAAGTTTAATAAGTTTTTTTTCATACAATCTGATGAAAACTGATGGCTTTAGTTGAAAACGATTAACTATTCTAATCCATAGATTTGGAGCATATGATTCTACAAATAAATTTAATAACAATATAAGATAATAAAAATTTATATGAAGTAAATACTATAAAATTTTAAAAAAAAAAGTATAATACATAGGTAGGTATTTATACCAATTAAAGGATGATGTGAAGGTTTCAATGATTCAAAAGCCAAGATTTTTTGTTCTTCTTCACTAATATTACTATTTTGGCATAATATGAGAATGGTTTCTACTAAGTGTTTAGGATTAATTTCTAAATCATTCTATTGTAAATAAAAAAATTAATTATTGAGTTATTACATACAAATTTATACAATAAATAATAACATACATGGCATTCTAGAAATTGTGTAGTAGCGTTCAACAGTGAAGCTGCTAATTTAGACCCTCCAGGCAATGATACAGCTTTTAAAACATTTTTTTTAGTTTGAACACGGACTGATGATTTAATTGACAGAAGACTCACAATTATTGATCTTAAATATGATTCAATAGAACCATTAATTTGATCATACTTCATGTCTAACAGTAATAAACTGAACATGCATAATTTATTTAATACTAAATTTAAAACAAATAATACAATAATCATTATAATTAAATCCAATATTACAATTAAATAATATAGAAAACATACCATCATCTGTAAACTGGAATAAAAATTTTTCATTTAAAAATAAAGCTTTATCTGAATTAAGAACCACATTCCATAATGGAGTAAACCTGGTTTCATTATTTAGTTTTGGGTCTTCATTTATGATTAATAATAACAAATATGCAGCATACAAAGCTTCTGTCACAATAGGAGCCTAAAAGATAAAAAATATTAGATTCAATAAAAATGTACAATTATACAAAGAAATCTTTTTTTCAAATTTTCCAATACAATTATAGAAAATATATCAATATTCATAAATATCTTCTATCTTATGAGATTTTGAGATAAAAATGTATAAATTTACATACTTGAGATGATTGAGAACATTTTTCAACACATTTTAATAATAATGGGATAACATCAACTGAATATACTGAGTAATTGTTTTTGAAAATATTTGTCATACAATCCATATACGATAGTTTTACGGATAAAACAGATGATTTCTTATCATACCCTTTCTAAAAATGAATTTATAATTCATAAAATATTTAATTTAAAATGTATTTGATAAATTAAAAAAAAAGTAATTACAATAAACCACATAATTAAGGCCTTGGGTATGGTTTTTTTCAAATTTGAACTCCACAAAGTTAGCATTTGGATAGCATGTACTAACGTTTTTTCATGCATTTCATTATCTAATATTTTGATAAATTGGTCAATGACTGATTCAGCTAATTTTTGAGAATCATCATCATTAGTTACTGTATTAAAACTGAAATTTCCAATTGCCTGAAAATTTATAATATTTTATAAATATAAATATAAAATGATATACCTTACTAAAGAAACATTGAAATGTATAATAAATCCACACTTAATAGTCATGTATAAAAATAATAAGCATTAAATATAAATATATTTTAGTTCAGTATTACTTGTAGAATATTAATTTTTTGCTCTGATGTACTCAATTTTCCTTCGGAACCATGATAAATATTGAATAGTAAGTTCAATATATTAGAAACTACAGTTGAATTACTACATTTTAAAGCCAATTTCTTACATAAATCAGCAGATTCATTTCTAGCTCTTTCATTTTGAGAATAGATATTAGCTTAAATAAAAAATAAATAGATAATAATAAAGGAAAAATTAAATCTAATTTTAAACAAACAATTTATACCAGAAAATCCTTTAGTTATTTCAACAGCATTAGCACTTAAATCAAATGTAATACTAGAAATAACTGTAGCAATGCATTCCAGTATTACTTCAGGATTACGAAGCATAGATTTTAAAACGGGAGGTAATAATTTTGATTTGAACACGTCACATGAAACTAAATTAATAGTAAATGCACATTGTTTAATTAATTCTTGTTCTGGTCGTGTTTTACAAGCAATTCCTTCTTTAATAAATACTTCCAAAAATGGTTCCTTAAAATAACAATAAATTAAAACTAATATTATAAAATAATACACATTTAAGAATACCTTGTATTTGTTAGCAAGATTCATGTCGGTTGATGCCATTGATTTAAGTAAATATGATTCAATGACTAATAAGTAAGGTTTAGTATCAATTTTTTTTAAACATTCTCCATAATATTCTAATGTACTTTTGTCATTTATCCAAATATCATTCATAGCATTAAATACTTTTAAACATAATCTAAAAATTCAATAAAATTGTATATATATACATATTGACAATTATACAGTTAAAAAATTTACTTACTGACTATTTTTTGATATTGCTACTAAATGTATTAGTATAGCTTGCAGTTCAATTAGCTGTCTTAATTCATTTGTATGTGAGATGCTATAATCTTTAAATGATACTTTAAAAATAATGTTGATGACTTGCAACATAAAAAAAACTGATTTCGCCAAATTATTCCTATAAAAAATAAATTCTTAAAATGTAAATAAATAATTATAAAATTAATTATTTACTATTTTTAGTTATATTAAATATAAATGTCACTAAATTTAATAAAAACTATATAATAATATTGGAAGGATTTACGGTATTAAAAGATTACAACCTTTTTAATGTGCAAATTGTAATCTTATATTAAACATTAGAGTCATATAATACTCACGATATATTTAAATGAGGAAATGTATTAACATATTCAGCTAATATCGGAGTAAAATTAACTAAACATGCTTCTGATTTAGAAACCATCAGTACTTTGACAAATTCTTTAAAATATGACTGTGACCTAAGGTCTTGATAACGACTAAAAACAATTGGCAAAACTTCAGTAATATTATTCCACACCTCATTTGAAATATCTGTAATTTAATTAATTACAGTCAAATAATTATTATTATGATACTTGTGAGTGATTAAGACAATTACTAAGTACTATTCAAAATAATATAATTATTTATATATTTACTAGATTTAACAGCATTTGTAGCATTTTTAAAAACAAGTTTTCGTTCTTTAATACTGGATGACAAGACTTTCAAATGAAAATCAGAAAATTGTTTAGTATTCTATAAAATAAATATAATAAAATTAGATTAAATATTTTTGAATACTTATATTTTTTAACTTACTCCCTTTTGATCAGACATTTTACAATTATTTAAATTTGAAATTTAAATAACAAATAACATGTTAACTTATAAATTATACTTAATTCACGTAAGACTATGACAAGTAAACGGAGATTGACGATGTGCCGATGTGCGTTTTCATGGTTATGAACTTCGGTGTGAAATTTAAAATGATAAAACACCGATTACTTAGAACATAGTAACGTTTATGATAACAAAAAAACCGAGTAGTATGCAGGATATTATTGGCAAATGACAATTTTACTGCACAAATGACAAATACCACAAATCATGCAGATTGTACTTCTTGTAAAGAGTGTTTTATTTTAAAACTTTTCTACTAAAGTAAAGAGTATCTATCCGCTATTATTCAAAATAGATCACCGTCATCATGATCCTCAGAAATATTTTTGAATATTTGTAAATTTAATAGTAGATATAATATTAAATTTATTCTTGTAAGTGTAAGTACGAACTACGAAGTATTAAGTAGTAACGATTTACAAGTTTAAACTAGGGTATCAGATATCAGTCACCACGGCGATTGATAAGTAGTCCGAAAGTTAAAATGAAGTGCAGCCCAAGCACAATAATTCGCATTCAGATGATTACTCAATAAATAAATAGGTAATTGACGAGTACGAAAATGACACCCATCGGCGACCCTTTGCCAATAGGAATAATTCAACTATTCGAATACCCACCGTCCATTACGTGCGTGTGATTAAAATAATAAATAGAAAGATATTTCACTCCTATCGTTAATCTTCGAGCAATACGCCTGCGCACGTGAATACGGAAACTCGGTGCGCGTGATACGCACCCAAAAGCTCGTCTGACGATGGGAACGTGGGGTCCGAGTCCGTTGTCGAAGGGAGTAGCGAAAAAAATTGATAATTTTTTTTAATGTAAAATAAAGTATATAATTTATAGGTATGTATGTAAATGTAAACTATAGATAATATTATACTATACTTGTAATAATAAATAATAATACAATATAAATGCATTATAATAAAAAAATACATTTTATGTACAATTTTTATTTATCTATTTTCTGATTTTCTCGCGTAATATGAATAATACAATTTCTCGTTTAATACGTTATTTTTACCTGGTTCCTTGGAAAGCGACTTAAATGGATTCTACTGTATATAGATTCAATTACCTATAGTAACGTATGCTTTCGAAATATTTATAAAAATTCGTCCATCATCGTAATCTCGCACTAGACATTGCAAGTGACAATATTAATTTAAATTTGGAATGAGCTTTAATATTTGTACATAAACGAGTCGTCAGTTTACGGGTAAATATTTATATTATATGATGAGCGAACGAGCGATTGAGTGTTCGAGTGTCGACGGTCACGAGTTGTGTGACCGTTGCTCTATACTATTCGCAAAAATTTACTATAACTGCCTCTAAAACAAAAGTACGTGACATTATATCGTAGTGTAAAATGTTTTGATTGAACTGAAACAGTGCAGTTGGGTTAAACGATAGAGCAAAGATCAGTATCAGGTGCGTTGTCTTGGCACCCGTAATTCATCAAATCTTCCCATAAACAATTTCATTTTTTAGATTCCGATTTTTATTCATTTGTACCCTCCTTAAAAAAATATGTTTTCCTACGACGTTGTCCTGACACCCGGACTTAATATTAAGTTTTACGACGAATGTGTAAAGGGGTCCAAATTATTTTAAGGAGGTAAAAATGCGGATATAGATCGTGGAAACTAAAAAATGAAATTGTTTAGGTAGAGATTTGATGAATTACGGGTGTCAATAGACAACGCACCTATCATTATCACGTGCAAAGTCACCTCGTGTACGTTCTTTGGACACCAGTCACGTGACGTATGAGTTGCATACGCGGAAGACACTCGTGTGGCACATCAGTACAATATTATGTATTATGAAACGATGGGCGAAGACGACACGATGGCTATTGTGTTGCCGGCGCGACGGACTATATAATATATAGCGTGTAAAAACGCTGCAGTCCCGCTGTCGATGATGGTAATATCGACTTATCAGTATCGGACTCTGAGGCGTGTACGACGAGTGACTTGGAACAATAATGTATGCGCATTATGCCATTATGCTGACCGAGCAGTTTCTGATTTCGGTGCAAGTAAGCGGCATCAGTGACAATTGGACACGGACGCGGATAATGATCAGCGTCTTTATTCTAGATTATTATATATGTAGACAGCTATATAAATTCATACTTTGAATCGTATATTTGTATTAAATTTTCAATGAATAATTTAAACGGACTTGGCAACAACTTTTACCGGAAGAGAATACGTGCTAAATTTGTTTATGTGTACCAGTGCAATTTCCGATTCAATACAATCAACACATTTTATTTATTATTTATGTATTATATTATGTATTGATGGACCTTTTTTTTTGATTCTTAATCGGTTGTGGCACACGTGAGGGACCTTAACCTCGTTATTCTTATTATATTTTTTTTTGTTATGTTTTTTATCAGTTTATTACCGTATCGTTGTAGGTAAATAGTGTTAAACATGTCCAAAATACCGTTGTTGATTTGTTTCATTTTCAATATATTGTAGTTATAAGTATTAAGTGTATTCAAAGTAATACTTTTGAAGTGATAAATTACGGCCTTCGGGTCGTAACAATCATAATATCTACGTGTTACGTATTACTTGTCGTTACTGTTCTTCGTTAATGTAATGTACTAATGTTTATGCCTATTTTACAAGTTAATTTGTTAAACACCTGTTTAGGTGTCGCTCAGCTCAGTGATGCTTGGCGTAAACGCACATATAATGCTCAAAATCTATGATTCTTATAAAACAGACAAAAGGGAAAACGATATTGTTAGAGCCTATAACATCATTGTATCGGTTATGTTCAACCATAGCTCGTAGCCACTTACACATAACAACGACTTCAAACTCTTGAAACTCGACGTCAAAAGTCGTTTACCGCCAATAACTTGTTGGATCCAATTATACCTTGGAATTTGGATTACATACATAATTAAACTGTTAACTTTATATGTGTATATAATTTCTTATATTTATTATCCTTTTATTAATAAAAAAATAAAAATTATTATCCATTTTTTTTTTATTTAGTTCACTAATCTGATAAGTTTTTTTCTTTAGAAATCAAGTTTATAAAATAATTTAATTGGTACCATCTTTGTAATAATTACTCCTATAATAGTATGGGTACAAGTATCATTGATGCTAATTTCAATGCAAGAGTGCATTTGATGCCAATGGCGTGGAAAACGTTAATGTCAGAGGCAATTGCCTCTGATATTTTTTTTGTATGGTGTATGAATGGGTTCCCTACTCGTAAATTTAATAATATAATACTCAATAGGCAATAAATACTGATCTGAAACATAATTATTTATAATTTATGTTAGATACCCTTTTTCCCATCACCATTTTAGCGTCTATAGTGGTGGTAGATTTCTTGGTATATTTTTCTTTATCTCTGAAAAATTTTCAGTTTACCACGTCACTGTTTAGTGCAAACAGTTAATATAATATATAATATATATATTACATATATATTATAATGTAATTTATTATTAGCAGAGTCAACTAAAGTGTTAATTCGTAGTCGGTCACGTTTTTTCGATTACTTTAGTAGCATACCCAGAAATTTTCAAGCATATATTAATATAACCTATATAATTCATTAAATACATAAGTATTATTAGAATATTTTTGAATTTATAAAAAATACAACTCAATGCACGATTAAACTGCATTATTCATTATAATTTGTATTTATGGATTTATTCATTGTTGCATATAAATTATAAAGGGACTATTTAAAATTGAATATGTTATTATTAAAGTTATATAACTCGTAGATGGAAAATTTACTTATTAGGTAATGTCAGTACATAACACAGACATATCTAAAACATAATTATGTTTGTTTTTAAATATTATTTGTTGTATTTAATCGGTATTAATAGTTTTCATAAATTATAATTATATATTATTTAATTTGGTATTTATATACATCAGCTACTCGGTAGGTATTGAACGTTTGCGAATCTATGATTCATATTTATTTGATATTTCGGCTACAAAATTCTATTTACATATTGTTCATTAGACCAGCTCTGGGATAAAACGTGTTGACGCATACTATAATACGTTGGTATATCGCATATCAGCATATCTATAAAATGTGTTATATCAGGATAAGCGTATTCATATAAGTAGCATGTAAATAATACTACTGAAACGTAAATCGATGTAAATTTGTTATTCGGGTTACCTACGCAAAAAGGATTTATCAATAGTGCAGGTAAAATATAGTAAAATAATACATATAGGTGGCTGCTAACTATAAAAACATGAAACTAACCTGGGCAAACCGCATTAAATCATAAAGAATTTCGATTAACTACTAACTTCACAAATTAAGACCACTACTCCGACACAAAATCTCCAAAAAACAAAACACTAATTTACAAAACATTATTTCGCCCAGCAATGACGTACGGCACCAACTTTAGGAAACCTCAAAAAATTCGAATCTAAGTAAACTTCAAGTGTTTCGATCAATAACTCTTCGTATCCTCTCTAATGCTCTCTGGTACTTCATCAATCGTAGTATCGAAATCTAGTTAAACTCGTTGACTCACAAATTTTTGTTGAAACTATATAATTAATAAAAATAAAAATAATTATTAATTAATAATAATGTATAGTATCGAATATTTATGAACTTTATAATTTTTCGTGTCAAATTATTGGTGTTTATGATGTATATTGATGTGCATATAGATATGTGTAGGCTAGAAGTACATAATACGCGCGCCCAGACACCAAAAAAAAAAAAAAAATTAACTTATGATTTAGCAAACTAACACCTAAGATCAAAAATAATATAAATAGCTGATAAATGTAGTGCTGTAATAGCTCGAATAGCAGTGGTCAGAAATCAGAATTCAGAATTGCCAGTCAATATTATCTAGCTATGTAATGCATGTTGTGTATTACTATTGTGCAGTTAGGTTTTGTGTATAAATGTGTATGTATAGTGAAATATTTTGGGAGGTGTCCTCCATGTCTGGACATCTCCCGACTTAAAAAAAAATTCCTAATATATTGGTATATCATTGGTTTTATAATATAAAATTTGAAAAAAAAATATAAATTCATTGTTTTTTTCATTAGTAAATAATTCTAAAAAAATAGTTTATGAGGTCACATTTGTTGGACATCCCCTAAAAGATCACCCATAATACACCGCTGTGTATGTAGAAACTCAACAACTAGGAACAGATAGGTAACTCAAATAAATAAATGTTAACTCAAAAGTTAGGTACCAAATCTAATACATAAAATTCTCTTGTCACAATAGAAAATGTTTGTCGCCAAACTCCTCCAAAATATCTTGTTTAATTTTCACGAAATTTTGTGTATATATTTAGTAAGTCTGAGGGAGTGATTCAAGCTAAATTTTAAACCCCTATAGGTGTAAAAGGCGGGTCTCCACAAATATTTTTTAATATTTAACGTGTAAAATCATAACTGTTTATTATTTTTTTTTTTTTTTGCTAGCCGAAAATAATACATCGCAACCAAGGAAACTGCCTCAGTATATAATCAATTTCCACATAATAATATGCAAATATTATTATCAGTTTAACTCTAATAACAAAATAGTATAGTGGCTTGGCGTGGCGTGTTGGCTGCTACCAGTCGCGGAATGTGACTGAGAGTAAGTAACGGCCACAGCTACTAGCTCTCGGATGGGTGACCACTCGGGATTATAGTGGTTAAAAACCTTGCCACACATACACGTGTTTGCTATCAACCGTAATAATCGTAAAATACAACCTACCGTACCAACCTTACCCCTTACCATAGTTCACAACACCTACAAACAGCTAATGGTTCTAGTTGCTGGGCTTAAGTTCAATAAAAACAAAAAAAAAAAAATACTATAATTCTTTCTGTGTATATAAATTCATTTTGTTCAGCATTAAGTATCTATTTCAATTTGATCGATTTGTGTGTTTTGTGCAATAAACAATGCAAGCAAGATGCAAAAGATCTGATTTGGCCTGTCAAAAGACTAAAACTACAGTCAATAGAGACAAAAGGGCACAAGCCTCAAAGAATAGACGAACAAATTCAACAGGATAATGAAGATGTGCTACGTGTGAACACGGTGCGACTGCGTGAAGCACAAGGTGAACAAAATCAACAAAGACGTTTAGAAGCGTGTCCATTCGTAGTTGACATACGCAGAGCAAATGACCAACAACGCCAACAAGTACCTATATAATATAGAGCATTTACATCCAATTCATTCCTTCGTCTTGAATTCGAGTATGGGCCCGGTATTAAATATTACACTCATTCGAAAGTGGAGATTGATACTATTGACAAGGATTTTCCACATTGTAATGCACTGAAATTCTAAATCGAGCCAACCGGTATGTGTTGCCCGTCTGGAAAAAGCAACTACCTGAACTACCGGAAATGTAAACACCACCTGAACCATTGAACGGTTTACTTATCAATACGAATCCTAATTCTAACCTGTTTCCGAATTAATTCGAACAATGAACATTTAATTTATGTTTCAAAATGACATTGTTCATTATATATAACAGAAATAGTTAAAAATAATGCAACAAATGATCAACAATTTAATTCAACAACCAAAATCAAAAGTTAAGTTTATCACAAAGTGAGCTCATTGCTACCAATGCTAAACGAATTACATAGGTACATTTTGTATGTAGGTAATGTACTGCAAGTAGTTCATACATTACTTATAGTATTTCTATTTTCTATGAACTGATACTGACGCACACGAGGAGCCGCAGTGGAGCGACCATTTTTAGAATATATTTAAGTTATATTATGATAATTGAAGTATAGCTGCATAGTACCTTTCGATGCCTAATGTGTCTGAATCCTGCAGCGAAACACTGTACACTTTAATGATTCAATCCTGTTCAAAATAGCAGTCAGAAATCGAGGTCTAAACCGAAGATTTAGCTAGTCCACTGGGAAGGAGCTAGCTTGAAGTGACCTCTGTAATTCATTATCGAAAACGTAAATCATTGTGGTACCGGACCAAAAAAAATTGTTAGGTGCTTGTTATGTTGCGCATAGTATGTATAAGCGGTTTCTGTTATTCACACCCTAGCCCATATGTATTAAGCTCATCGTGTATACGATCGACGACAATTATATAAAAACATAATAATTTAAAGTTATTATTAAAAATATATCATATTATGATGTAATTCGTAAATTATATTATTAAATTGTGTATTCATATACAATCATATATATTAATATATTATATAATATCTAAAACAATGATTACGTCAATCTTATTGATTATCATAAATAAAAGTTTCTGTTTAGTTATATTAGTTTTTATTTGATATATTATTTATAAATTCCAAAACGATATATATTAACCTAACGTATATTATAACACATGAAAATTATGACTGAATACTTAGGTTTTTTTTATAACTTGAGTTGAATAATCAAGCGTTTTGAGCAAGAAACAAAAAATGTTTTCACAACATAAATCGAACTATATTTATTCATTAATAATACGATCTAGTATCTCAATGGTAATAGTTAAATTACAAGAGATAATAAGAAACAAAAACAGACAATATTTATTATGAACAACAAAGAAAACATAAAATATACATAATAAAATACAGAAAGTTAATTGGAAAAATAGATGAACAGTAAGAGAGCTCAATATTGACAATCTTCAACATTTTTAAAAGTGACTGACTAACAGAAAACTTTATGTTACAAGCAGGAATATAAATCAATAAGTCTGATATTTATTGCGTGTGGGCAAAGTAGGAATTTTGAAATTAATGCAAGAGAGGAGATTTGGGGTATCAATTTTACTTGAGAGTAAATTAGAAAAAATAGTTAAATTCGCTTGTACTCTCATATCAGTCAATGATAATAATTGTAATGAATAAATAACCGAATTTACATCATACTAATAAATTTAACTCATTTGCTTTACTATAATGCTATATTTTAATACTTATAGATATTAATGGTATACACCAACATCGTACATAATTATATTTAGTACAACACACATTAATTTTTAATAATTTAATTGACTTAGAACCTGCAAATAAAATATTATTATTGAAAAATAATATTATAATAAAAATTTGTGATATCGAAAAATATGACGGGAAAGTTGTAATCAATATGGATATCGAATATTTACTATATACAATATCGATATCATTGCTCATCACAATCGCTTGGGAATACTAAGTACGTGCTGTTGGTTTTTTTAACGATAAATAAACAATATTTATTTTTAATTTTAACTTAGAAATTTAAAAAAAATATTATGGCCATTAAAATGTAGATTTTATAATTTTTTACATTACATAATATAAATATATTTTTACCTATCCATATTTCGTGTATTCCGTTTAGTCGCAACCAACCCTTTTTTTAAATCAAATATCTATCATCTATCCTACTATTTAAATTAAATTAATTTTATTATATTATGTTTTATCCATATTGCGTTACTATTGTATTGTATAATGTATTAAGTTATAAAATTTAGATTATACTGTACTATATTTTAGTAGATTAAGTCTTGACATTATTGTTCTAATCCATATTAAATTTTTAATGAGTACAATGGTTAGTACCTAAAAGTTTTTAAACTTAGTAACTTACCTTAGTATGCTAATTACAAAATAATAACAACAAATTGCATGGTTAAACTGTTACCAAGCTGTTTAGTTAGTTACCACTCAAAGAAAATAGGTAGTGTACTATGATCTACTTTCAATGAAAAATAAAACCTTAAATTACAAAGGGAATTTTCGATCATTTTTGATATTAAACAATTTTAATTAATCCTAGTAACAACAAACTTTAGTCCTCTAAATTTTCGAAAAAATGTATCATTATAATATATAATTGACATAAGTACTTCAAATTTTAAAGACTCAAACCACCAGCAAACCTTGATTTTGAGCTCAACCTAAATTATTCTTATTATCTGAATAACCTACTTTGGCTATATTACGTATTTTTTTGATACGTAGGTACTAGAAAGTATTAATTTATAACTGCCTATATTACAAATTATAATACATATTACATAATAGTCAGTTTAACGGTTTTTAAAGCTCTTAAATATAATCACAACATATCTAATGTTAATGTTGTACATTTTTAAAAGTAAGATAACTGACAAGAGTAAATATAATACAATTAAAAAGTTAAAATACTAACCCAGCCAAGCCAAGAAAATATGTTAAAGTGTGATATCTTGAATCTTCTCTTTATCGTAGTAAAAAAAATATTATGTTATACTTCTTGAACATTCGACTGATACACAATCATAAAGTGAATAAATTTTCTAAAAAAATTTTTTTTTAAATCTATTTAATTTCCTTACTTTTTGATATTTTATTTTTATTTATGTTGACTGTTACTACCAACAACTAAAGTTATTAATTTTTGTCCAACGCATTCTGGCAACACTGCCTCATCAAACCACATTATCACAGAAGTGTAAATTTACAATTTTAGTTTTTTTTTAGTGCTTTACGTAAAATTTTGAATTTATTTCGGTCACTCGGTTGCCCATCGATGATTGAATATTTTACGCGCGGGCCGACTACGTTTCGCAGTCTTGACGTGAACTTTCTCTACGCACCCTTTTGATCGCAATCAACCGGCCGTAAACAACATGAGAAAACTCGATTTTCGCGCACACCTATCGCTGCACTATTTCTCTTTGCGACTACTTTTACTGGGTCTGTCACCGTCCGACCCGAAAAAGAATGACTCTTAAAATCCACTCCTGTGGTCTAGTAGTAGTTTTCGAGTGACCAGAAAAAAACCACACAATGCCAAAATGCGGATTGCACACGAAATATTTGCCAGCGACGTTTGCATGGATACTGCTACTTGGGACGACTGGGGCTTTTTTTTATTATCCGTGAGTTCTCTACCTAGTAGTGTCGCAGTCGGCTATTTTTGTAAATTCTATCGACATGTGACATTTGACAACCCACATTTTGATCGGATTTTTATTTTTTTATAGATGTCGATTTTTTGCTCAATTTTATCCATGGGTACCAGTCGTTCATGGTATAGTTACGTTTTTTGTTATAGCAAACTTCACATTGGCTACATTTATGGATCCAGGTGTAATACCAAAAGGTAAATATTCAACAGTAAATTTTTGTAATATAAATATTATTATTTGTCATTTTTTGTAACTTATAATACGTAATTTGATTTCAGCACCAGAAGACGAAGACACTGGTGATGATTTCCAGTCACCTTTGTATAAGTCAACCGAAGTGAACACAATTCAAGTGAGAATGAAATGGTGTTCCACATGTAGATTTTACAGGCCACCAAGATGCTCTCATTGTAGTGTTTGCAACTGTTGTATAGAAGTAATATTTTAACATTTTTTATATTTTTATATAACATTGTAACCTTAATACTTTTTTTAGACATTCGATCATCATTGCCCATGGGTTAACAATTGCATTGGTCGTCGCAACTATCGCTATTTCTTCTTTTTTCTTATATCACTTAGTATACATATGGCGTCTATATTTGGTGTTTGTTGTTGGTATATTTTATATCATAAAGATAAAATTGGAGACATTGATACTTTAGTATCGTATCCTTTATATTTAAATATCATTATTCTATATAATAAGTTATGCAAAAATAGATTATCTAGTAAATCTAACAATGAGACTGTCTAGAATGCTATCAGATGATTCTACGTTTATACATACAGTAAATTTTATTAAAATAAAAATTAATGTATGTTAAAATGGTGTAGGAGAATATTATGATATTTTAATTTGATAGATTTATTTCAGTTTTAACTTTTTAAATATTTTTTTAATTATTTAATGATGGTAAGTATATAAAAAAAAAAAATGTAATGAAATATTAAAAGTTTAATGATACTTATTACAATTAATTTTTTAATTTTATGACAAATATTTTTCCTTCATTTTAATAATTTATCAGATTAACATTGTGTGGCTTAGTAATTATTTTGTTCATTCCAATTTTTGGTTTGACTGGTTTTCATGCTGTATTAGTAGCTCGTGGTCGAACAACTAATGAACAAGTTACTGGAAAGTTCAAAGGTGGTTACAATCCATTTTCACACGGCTGCCGTCTTAATTGTATAATTATTTTATTCGGACCTCAGTTTCCTAGGTAAAAATTTTTCAAATATCTTTTAACCTAATAATAATAATTTTATATTTTAGTTTGTTAAAAGTGAAAACTTCTAAGTATCAAAAACATAAAAAACAGATTCAAAACAGTTTTAATGTACCTCCACCATTATTAACAAAAGAAGATAATTGTGGGCCACCTGTTGCTAAAACTTATTTGGATAATAGCAATGGCCTACATCATTCTTCAAATAATTACAATAAGGTAAAACTTAATATTATTATGTTTGTTTGGAAATAAAATTATAACAACTAGTGCATGGATGGTCAAATTTTTATCGTGGTTCAAATTTATTTTTAAGATTTACAGTATTCATTTATGACACCTTTAAATTATTGTTAACTTATTGGTAGTTTCCAACCCATAATAATTAATACTTTATTATCAGCCTTATATTTTTAAGACATGTATTATGTGAATATAATATGAAATGTAAATCACAATGAACTTTATTGCATCTGTTTAATAGTTACGATCGTTAGTTTTCAAATTTAGGTTTAATTATTAGTGTTTTTTTAACTACTATAACCTATTTCACTAATTATGTTTTTATTATACTATCAATTATTGTTTTTATCTAATACTCTTAACAAATTATAATTTTTTGTATTTATTAGAATATATTTTTTTATTTGAAATTTTTATAATTTTTTAGATGTCGCCAGGTAGAGAGTGTTTAGAACTTGATAATGAATTAACTGCCTCACAGTCACAAGATTGTGAACCAACACCACCATTACAGCGTCAAGGTTCAAAAAACAATTTTTACTTGCCCTCTTATGATACAAATGACAGTGCCAGAATGTCTTATGTGACACGAACAGCACCACACCCATCACGACCTAGGTACATAAATTTAAAGACAATAGATTTTAGTTTTAATTTTTATATTGATAAATGTTTATTTAATAAAAAAAAGAATGAACGAAATGGGTAACAGTTTGTCAAGAGAAACCATGATAGATCCAAATCGTCAATCTAACATCATTATGCAAAGTCCAACTATGCAGCAGAGAATGAAAGCTATCGGGGTACCTACTGCTTTGGCATTGTCTAGTCCATTAAGGCGGCAAGTACCATATTTAAATTTATTAAATAATCCAAATAATTATTTTATGTTTATGTTAAAGATATTTAAAAGGTGTTTTATGAATGTGACATGATATAAAATAGTAGTTAATAGTGAAAAAAAAAAGTAATTATTAAAATACCGTGTATAATATATAATGATAATAAAGTATACTTAAATTCCGCATAAAAAATTATCAGAAAAAAAATATAAATACTACTTCCCTGGTATAAATCTAAATTGTACATTTAAAATTCTCATAACATACTTTTAAATAAAAATATGTCTATGAGGTTCATCAATTTATATTCTTATCTATAAAATTGATAGTGCGTAAATTTACTGTAATATTAAACATTTAAGAGTTAAAGAGATTATTCAGATAGAACAATTTGTTATGTTATGCATGTATTAGACGGAAACATCTGTGTAGGGCATAGATTCTTGACCTTTTTTGGTCCATGGGTCCCTTTAAAGTATAAAATTTAATCACAAACCCCTTTACCACCCAAAAGTAAAAATATAATTAATTAAATGTGAGCAAAACATTTTTATTATTATCATAATAACGCTATCAAAACAAATGTATTTTTGGGTTATTTAAAAAAAAATTCACAGCCACTCCGTGGACCCCCAGTTAAGAACCTATGGTGTAGGGGTATAGCGTACTTTTAAAAGTAAATGCAATGAAATACTTACTGCTCTGCAGAAAGATTTAGTTTTGTTCAACAGCATTTTAATTTGTATTTTACCGATTTTAATTTTCTGTATTATATCATAGATCAAACCCTGGAACTCCAACTCAAGTAAAACGACCAGACTTCATAGGAGTTGGGTCTTCTACTAAACATTATGATTATCAAGAACGTAGTCCACAACGGCGTTTTTTGTCTGAAGGCGACATTTTACGTGAGCACGAACGTCCACCTTCATATCCACGAATAAATAATACAGTTGACAATATTCAAGAATTAGCTGGATCACCGCAGAGAGGTGTTTATACATGGAAAGACACTCCTGGCACAACTGGTTCTTACTATGTCCCTCGACAAGCACCTACATTCAACTATTGTGCAGCACATAATGATTATAGATCTAATCCAACTAGTCCAACTACAAAAACATATTACCCAGTTCGTGGAGGAGTTCCTGTTTATCCACCTCAACCATCACCTGTAGGCAAGAAAAAACCTCCTCCTGTACAGACAAGGAGACCTATGTCTTTTGCTAGGGCATTAGACCATGATGCAATAGAGATGTCAATTAATAGAGGAAACAACACTGATAACGGAAGTCCCGATCGTAAAAGTGCTTATGACAAAAACTATGAAATATCTGTTTAAGTGTGTTGTTGATAGCTTTCTTTTTGACTTTCCAAAATCTTTTTCTTTTTTTTTTTTTAATGTTATGTTAAATTATTGCCATGTGCATTTTCTGTAAAAATTGAAATTAACTGTTGTAAATATAATATATATATATTTTTTCTTAAGGCCCATCAAAAGCAAATATATTACTTATAAAGTTGTGTGTTACAGGGTGTTGTAGGATATGTTTAAAATAGTGATTAATTATATTTATTTGAAGTTAAGCAATTTCATCTTAAACTTTGTTTTCATTATCTTACTTATTTGTTAATTTTAATGGTAGAACAATTAATTATAAAGTCTAGTCATAATTTCTAAAATATTAAATGTATAATACCTTAAATATTTTTTATATTAAACTTAAATATTTAAAGAAATATGTATGTATCATAATTTATTGTATGTAAATCATATTTATTAAATATATACATTTTGTTTATAAAAAAACCATTAACTTTATTATGTGTATAATTATATATGTGCAGTTTTAATACATACATATTTTGTTTATTATTACCGAACAACCGTGATCAATAAGTATGGAATTTTTTCTCTTCTTTTTTGGCATACATATTTCTATAAGCACCCTGTACTGTTTTTATAGTTTTTACTAATGTTGTGACTTTGGTTTATACTTAATTAATTTCTTCAAAATTTGTATTTAAAAAAAAAAAAACAATTAAAATGATTATAGACATTTTACTTATAGTTTGATTTTTGAATAAATAAATAAATATGTATATGAATTACCTATAAAATAATAGGTTAATTCAATTTTTATTTTAATGTTTAAATTATTATTTACAGTTTTTAATTAACAGTTCAACACAACAATTTAGGATATAAACACTGACTTATTCATTTTAATGTCCTTCAGGTGGAATTTCAGCTGCATTTCCTCCCCAATTGAACCCTCCAGGACGAAACTCTGGCGGAGGTACGTGATCCTCTTCTGGTGCTGGATCAAGAAGATGTTTTCTATTTAAAAAAAAGTAAATAATTATCATTACTTAACTCAAATGATGTTTCATACAATTCAATGGGCATAAAGAACAAATACTTGAATCTAAATATGATTAGTTAATCAGCAAACACATATCAAATGTAGTAACTAACAACTATTATACTATTATCTAATATAATAGATTAAATTAAAATCACCACTGGGATACTGTAAATGTTTAAATTCATAGAGTAGTTTGACATAATATGTTGTGGCATGTTATGGTAATCTATGCATATTAAAGAACATCACAACACTAAAAACAAGTTTGTTTAAATTAAAAGTATGTATTTATCTAAGAAATATGGTGTGGGCCTCACATTTAAACACTAATCATTCTATAAAATACAGGCATTTGAAAATAGGCATGTGATATCACAGAACCGAAGTCTGAACAGCGGTATATGTTTTACATGCAAAAGTGTCTAGATTAACACAATGATGTCAATTGTTAAATATAATATTTTTAAATTTTTTTTGTGCAACTTTAAATGGTTTTTTGTGTTTATGACACTAGTGTGATTATGATTTTTATATACTTTCTAGTTTTTTAATAGTAGATAAAACTATAGCCAATTTCGTAAAATTTAGTTATATGAGTATACAACATAAATTGCGAACTCAATAATTTTCCTAAATTATAATTTATAATATGTATGCAACAACAAGATATATTCAGTTTTAAATTACACCATCGTCTTAGATTATATAAAAAAAAATTCTGAAATACTGTTTTAAGTTATTAAAATCATTGTGTAAATCAAATTACTTTTAAACATAAAACAAAGGCGGCTGCTCACTTGTCGGCTTTATGACATCATGCACATGGGTGTCCCCAGACATTTTTCTAAGGGGGTGGGGGGCGGCAAAATTAATTAAAAAAATGAATAAAGATTTTTTTATACATTTTATTAATTATAGAATATAATTCTGTTTTGTCAGTATAACATTAAATTATTACAATTAGGAAAAAAATTAAAATTTTAGAGGGGGAAGTGTCCTGACTTGCCAACCATAGGGACGCTCATGGTCATGCAGCTATTCATTAACTCTCATTGTCTCATTGAATAATCATTTTTTTAATTTCGGATTTTTACCAAAACATTTTTCAAAGTGTTGACTACAATAATATACCAATAAACTTGAAATTAAAAAAAAAGTGTTGTAATGTCTTTTAATTTAAAATACTTACAAGAAAAGTGGTGTTTTAAGAATTTTAAGATTGGCCCTATGTTGAGGAAGCACGTCTTCTAAATAGTAATAACAATGACCAACAGCAATTCCCATCAAATCTACCCACGGTGTGTTTCCCAACAGAATTGAAAAACCAAGCAACACCCATGGCAAATATGGAGCCTATTATAATCAAAACATACGTTAAATTTAAATTAATTATTCATTTTATACTAAGTATCATAGTAAGGTTAAATTAAAAGATTACCTGAAAGTTTAATACGCCAAAAAAGTTCATTCTAATGTATGGGTTTCTTCGTGACCAAATATATACTAACATTATTGTTAGTGCTTGTCCTAAGAATAATAAATTGATAAAAAATGCCCAAATCTAATATTATTAGTTAAGTCAATTTAAAAATTTATAAATAAATTATGTTTATCTAATTTGGTTTGATTTATTATAAAATATAAAATTTCAAAAATTGGAGAAGTAAAAATGTTTATTTTTAAGGTTTTTATCATGAAAATTACAGACATAATGAAGGACCTTCAACAACAAACTTATCAAATAAAATTATTTTTCTTACTCAATACAATCAATACTAAATAGACACATGAAAAAACTTTAAAAAAGGATACGATCATTAATGTAGCACCAAACAAAAACATCATAACAAAATCTGCTGTTCTTGAACGAAATGATCCTTCTTCGAGCATGCGACAATAACGATAAGTAAATATCATGTTAAATAGAAAATTGAAACCAATGTTTCCGAAAAATAAAAAAGTGGTGATCAATCTCCATACCTGGAAATAAATAAAATTTCAATTTTATTAACATTAAACAATGCTCAATCATATATGTATTACACACTTGAAATTGTTTTAGTATCAGCAATGGATTGAAATACAACTGGAATGGGGAAACAACGTCCAACTGCTGTAAATAAAATCATAGATACCCATTCAATCTAGTATAATCATATATGTACGGATTCTAATTCAAGTATAAAATTGAATGTTACACTAACTTACCACTGCTAAGGTGGTAATTACACAGGCTGTTGTGTACGCTCTGGTGACTGGTGGCATTTGCATGTATTCGTGTCGAAGCGTATGGTACGCCATGGCTTTTTGAAAAAAAGTCGTATTTGAGGATGTTTGTTCAATTTTCACCCAAAATTTAAAGAGTGGTCCAGAGCGTAGGCGAAATTACTTAACGCAGTATCGTCAGTAGCATTAAAACTGTATCAAGACGACAGTAGATTGTTGTTCAAGAATAATTTTCACGAAACTTACGTGACATTCTTGAGCAAAACGAATGCGAATCAACCACATACACACATATTTTTACTTAAAATATTTGTGTTTACATACAACTTAAGTACGTATGTAATAATAATATAATAGAAAATATTATGGTCATGATAAATTGATAACGTGTTTTGGTTGCTGATAAAAAATGTTTACTGATAACCACGGTATTGCAGTAGAATGGGATATCAATGATATCATCTTGAATATTGTGTGGGTGGCGTATGTGAGTGTCGAAAGGACCCACGGGTGCGATGAAAATCAAAAATTTTAATAAGATAATTTTACCCAATATCTACAAAGGTGTACGACACTGATGCACAGCTGGTATAAATAGTAAATACACATAATTTATATTTAGTATAGAATAAATAATATTACTAATAGTAATTATTACTCCATGTGATAGACACTTGTAACAAGTGGCTCAACGTCCTATCAATATATTTTAATTTTTAAGTTTTAACCCATTTCATTAGGCAGAGTAGGTAATTATTACTAATTAGTAATAATTACATTAGATCAAACATATTACATAATATACCTACTGTATAATAACTGTAATAAGATAAATTACTACTCATGTTTCAAACGCGGTGTATAGCTACAGAATAAGAAACTTTGATATTTGAATCTTATTTATACCCAGCGTTCTATATTGGTGAGGGTGGAGTGTACAACCTATACCCCGATACCCGAATTCCTATTTTTGGACTTATGCGTTTATAAATTGGTCTATTGTGGGTATACGCCAACAGAAAATGCATGCATTATGGGTATGCGTAATGCACAAGCTTCTAGTTTATTCATGAATTCATGATTAATAAATCTCACATTATAAAAAATAAATAATAATAATAATATATAATTATTATTTTATTAAATACACTATTGCACTGTCCAAAAAATGCCTAGACACCATATGAAGTACTGAATTAGGAAACTGCGGAGCGTGTATACTGTTTAGTGTAAATATTAAATAACAGCATCAATATTATGGAAGTTTAAGATTAAAATATATGCGCCTATAGTGGATATTACACTGAAATTTATTCTGACAGAATACAACACACATTCAAACCAAATTTACCTGTTTTAAATGTATACCAATATAATTTCTTTTGGATATTGAATATAGCGGTTGATTTTACATTGTGATTTTTTTTTTTTTTTTACACCACACACAATAGATAACTTTGAGTGGTTTTTTGTTAAAAAATTGAATCTAGTTAATAATTAAAGGATTTTAAAATTGGAATTCTGTAGTATACTCCAAGATAATTAGAAAAAATTGAAGTTTTCAACAAATTAAATTTTGTTATTTCAGCATAACATAAAAACAATTAATCGTAAATACTTGAATTTTTTACCATATGTTTATACTAAGACATGCCCACATGGTAAAATATTTTTACAAACATTTGATTATAAGAACAGGACTTTAATTTTTATGCATAATAAAAGCTAAAAAATATTTTGACCCCTTTATGCTATATAGACATTTAAAATTTCAGATTTTTTTTATAAATTTTGGATAAAAATTTTATTTTAGTTAAAAACCTTGTAAATGTATTACAAGATTTGTTATAACTTATTAGTTTTTCAAGTTATGATTAAAAATGTTAAAAATACATAAATATGTTTTATTATAAATATTTTAAATTTAAATTTAAGTGCTGACAAAACTAGTTAAAATTATGAAAATTTGCCATTATTTTTGTAATTAAAAATCTAATGCTTTATTTTTATAGGTTTGAGTTGAATAATTAAAATAATGTTCTTTATATACAAATCATTTTATAACTATTAAAAACAACAATTATATAAATTTGATTTAAAGTTCAATTTTGATATTTATACATAATTAATTCCCTTACATTGTAGATGAATAATAACTTTAATGCAAGCCAAGCAGAACTATTTGGTACTTATAACCTATCAATACTAGGTAAAAGCTATATATGTGGTATTTAAAAATCCAAGTTTCTGGAGAAATCTGTTAAGAATCTGCAATATTTGATAACTTTTTTGAGACAGTTAATTTATTAAATAGTATTTAGTATTAACATCATAGAATTTAATGCTCTAATCTCTACAACAAGTTTTCTTTAAGAAAATAATTAGTTGAGACGGTCAATTAGATTAATTGTTAAATAGATTTAACTACTCTTTTGTTTTAACAGTGGAATAAAAGCGAGTATTTCAACACAAATTAACTATAATTTAATATATTAAAATATAAATCTAATAATATAAGAAAATATAAACTTTTGATTTATTTAAACATCATAAATATTTTAAATACAAAACATTAACATTTACTGAATTATCAGGATATACAACTCATACTTTAAATTAACCTGATGGTATAAATTATAAATGATGAATGTATTCCGAATACAATATTATAGCTTATTAGTGATATTAGGTGCCGAGTTTACAATAAAATACTAGACCAATAGACAAAATTATTATGCTCAATATTATCTTAATATAAATATTAAATTCTATTCATTAATCTTAAATTATAATACAATTATTACCCTGTATGTATATATTATTATTAATAAATAAATTAAAGGAACTTAGTAAAAGATTTTAAATATATATTTATAAATTTTAAAAATATTTATAAGTTCATTATCATTGATTATAGTCAAAATCTTGTCAAAAGCTGTTTAGTAGCTTTTGCAATATTAAATGAGCAATCCCGTACTCTTTCAACACCAGCTTCTAAACATGCACATTCAAGTTGTAGTTGAGTAGTATTTGTATTCAATGACCATAATGCCGATTTCAAAACATCATCATTAATACTCTAAATATAAATTTCAAATTTAATTTAATACATTTTTTAATAATTAAAAAAAACTAAAATAGATTATGCTTCAAATATATTTTTTTTCTGTTTATTATTTTAATACAAAGCTAGGGTAGCTTTAAATGTGATTTATACTATATCAAAATAAATAGGATAGGTGATAGGAATTATTGCAAATATTTAGTTTTAAAACAACCCACCTTATCACTATTATTTAAAAATTAAATAATTGTTTAATCTATAACCAATGCTTTTTAATTATGAAATATTAATTTGCTTACATGTGGAAATATCGCAGTAAGTTCAACTACGGCAGTCTTAATTTTTTCAGTGCCGGGAACAAATGCTTTACAAGCTTCTGATGACCTTATGTTAGTCCATAGTTCTTGTATACCCTTAGTTACTTGAGCAGTATGACGAACAACATCCTCATATAATGGTAAATTACCTGTCTAATAATAAGGTAAAATATTAATAATTTATTATTTTAGAACGTACCTAATTACCAATAAAAAGATTCTGTTCCAAAAATACACTTTGAAGTTTCTTAATATTCATATATACAGGACAATTTAATTATTATGTTACAAAAATGAGAATTGCATACAAGATTAATTCTATCCAGTTTTGTAACACACCTTCATAATGGTCAAATTGAATAATTTCTTACTTGTGCACTTCGATTCATATCACATTTTAACCCTTCCCGAGTTTCATACATTGATACAGGTCTTATAGGTTGTTTAACATCACCATACTCGTTTTCATTAATCGCCAGTGCTGGTTGCTTTTGTCGTAACATTTCACATTTTAATTCTAAATTTTCTTTAGTAACTTCTTCTACCTTATAAACAATGTCATAATAAAATCTTTTACTTTTTATGTACTAATTAAACTAACTTTTTTTTTCAGTAAATCAATTTCAGAAATCAATTTAGAAATTTTGGCCTCAGATTCTGATAATTTTGTTTCGAAGGCCTTACCATTATACAATGGCAAGTTAGGCATTACATGGTTCACACTCATTTTATTTGAATCTACAGTTTCTTCAGTCGAATTTTTTTCTACTTGAGGATCATTCTCTTTATTGTTTAAAATAGTAGATGGTTTAATATGCATTGTCATCTTTAAAATAAAAGGTCAATAATAAATTTTTATGTTATTTAAAGTTGCATAAATAACACATCAATAAAAACAAAAATTACCATTGCAGCAATTTGTTCAGGTGTTGCATAGTCTTCATCAGAAGCAACATGATCATAAAGTGGTTCATCGTCATCATATTTTAATTTTGAAATAACTTTATTCACTGAAATGTATAGACAACATTTTAAATTGTCACTGAACCTGTTTTCTTATAAATAAACATACCTGGTTGAGTCCTTCTATTTATTTCAATTAAAATTTGCAAAACAAGATTTTTGAATTCTTTTTGTCCATAACAAGCCAATTTTTGTCGTCCTTGATTTTTCATTGATGATAAATCAGGATTTACTGGTAAAAATGGTACTGACATAATATGAGCTTGCGAATTTTTTTGTTGCCAAACTTAATATAAAACAATACAACATTTTTTTTTTTTATTAAGAAATAGAAAAAAAAAATTTAAAAGTAGAATTTACTTTTTTCAGTTTCTCTCCTATCGATTTCATCAAAAACATCCAATACTAAATCTTCAAACAAGTAATTGGGTAACTATAAAAATATATTTTAAATTAACCAACAATAAACCAACAATAAAATATAATATTAAATTTACCAGTTGCATCTTTTGTATAGCTTCATGTTGATTACCTTCCTGTTTTACACATTCATCATTTGGGTCAAAAGGTATCATATGCACATCATTTTTATGCTCTGCTTTGCGTCCAAATACATACATTGAAAGAACATCTAATACTTCATACATACTATCATTTAATCTGTCACTAATTTCTTTATGACCAGATAGCCTAGAAAATGTTAAGTATAATAATTTAAGATAAAAAGGGTTAAATTAGTTACTTGGCACAAATCACTGGAGTATTTCCATTACTATCAACGGCACGTGGATCAGCCCCATAAGTAAGTAGCAATTCAGCTTGTAATATTTGCCCTGCTTTAGCTGCCACATGTAATGGATAGTTTCCTTTTTCCTAAAATAATGAGAGAAATAAAACATTATTAAGATAAATAACAAAGTGTATACTTACAGGATGATAATAATTAGAATCAGCTCCTTGAGCTAAGATTCTTAAACTTGTTTCTAGATTTGATGTTC